GTTAAATTTCCTTAAAAGGAGCATACAGTAGGTGCATATGAGGTGGGTGGAATTCTTAGGAATATTTCTATTAATTATTTATTTTAATTTTATGAGTTTTATTATATTTTACAATGTGTAACTTACTAGAAAAATCAATAAAATTAAAATGTTGAATTTCTAATATGTACTGACTATAATAAACATCAACATTTTCAACATCAACTTTTTGTTTATAAAATCTAAAGAAAAATGACAGACATAAGTTTCTATATGAACTAAAATGAAAATAAAAATAAAACCCTCTAACACAAATAATCTCCAGAAAGAATGGCTACCATCAAAAAATCTAATAATAACAAAATTCTAGTGAGGTTTGTTGTAACCTAACCAAAGCGCTGCCACCCTGTTCTGTAAGCATCGTTACCTGATCTTTGTTCCAACTTCTGTTTCCCACGAACTTCCCCCCTCCCAGAACAGCAACTTGTTCCTGGAACTAGCCAACCATGAGTTAATATCCTGTAAAGCTAAAAAATTTGTCTCCACGCCAAATCAAGAGACATAAGACCTTCCTTCCCCTCAGCCCCCTGCCTTTGCTTTGCGGTTTTTTCCTTTTTAAACTTCCCAGTAACCTAATCTAGTTGCACAGCTCTACAATTCCAACGTGACTGTGTCACTGGGTACCAGCCTAAATAAAGCACTTTTTTTTCTTTTTGGATGACATCTTGCCTCGTTTTTGAGGTACAATATTTGGAGTACAACCAGGATGCAGGGGAAAAGAAACTTTTCTATCTTCTTGATGGACTGTAAACTAGTACACTGAGTCACTGATTTACAAATTCCTTTCCTGAACATTTGTAAGTCATATTCATTTGTAAGTCTGGCAAAGTGAGTCTTACATCCTTTGACACAAATATACAATGTAAAGGATGAAAAAACCAAATACATGGCAAACAGTAGTAATTAAGCTATTTTTACTTTTATAATTACCTTATCATGGTAAGATAGACACATGTACTAATTCCATGATTTGTTTGCGTTTTTGAAAGTTCATAATGCAAGGTCTGCTCATATCTGTGAAAGGTCACAATCTGAATATTTGGAAGTCAAGAACTTACCATACAACCACTATGGAAATCAGTGCGAAGAGTCCCCAAGGATTTAGAAACAGAAATTTCATTTGACCCAACCTCTTCTAGGTATCACCCCCAGAATTAAAAGCATCATATTACAGGGATACATGCATATCATATCTATAGCAGCATAATTTATAATGGCTAGATCTTGGAAACAGCAATAGATGAATGGATAAGGAAAATGTGTTTTAGACACAAGGGAGTGCTCACGCCTCTGTCATAAAGAAAGAGAAATTTGGCGCATTCGTATGTAAATGGATCCAAGTTGAGAACGTAATGTTAAATGAAAGACATACAAGTTCAAATATCACATGGTTTCAGAAAGAGAGAGACAGAGAGCAAAATAAAAAAGATAAACAGACAGTAGGTACAAATTCAAATACTTCCCCAAATTACATATTCTGTTGTTTCAAAAAATTTTTAATAAATGCTAATTAGGGTCCTGTATATTACTAGTTTATCTTAGTTCACTGAAAAAAAGTTTTATGTTATTCTTTCTTGCAAGAATTGTTTTGGTTTGTCTTGTACTCTGAGTAACTACTTTGAAAATAATGATACACAGTGTTTTAACTATTATTTTGTTATGTAGTGTTTTTCATTAAATAAAAAAAGGACAAAAAGATCTGGGTTAATTGGGGAAATAAAGGCTCTCTAATATCCCAGATGCCCCAGTAAAGTCTCTGTTTCACTGTGGTAGGACAAGGACACCTCCACATCTCATTGGTGACAGCCTCTTCCACCCAACCAGACAACATTCAAAAACTTGACAGAGAGCACACACCCCTGGCCCCTGACCTTGCCGATGGCTCATCTGTATTTTGCTAGATGCTGCCGAAAACCACCAGGATGAAATAACCACACTTCTTGTGGGGCTGATCATGCAGCTAAGTCCTGTCATCAGCCTGACAGTAGAGCATCTGTTTCAGTTTGATGGCACATCCTCCAGGGCCATCTCCATAGGCCATTTTACCCAGCAATTTCTCAGGATTGCCATAAATCAGACTAAGTCTGTCCCGCTGTCCACTAACATAAGCACACATTGCACACTTGTGGGGGACCAATGAAACACAAGTTTAACATGAGCCCTTCAGTCTTCTAGTGCCCCCCATGCCTGGGCATCTTGGCCTTGGCCTTGTCAAAATTAAACACCTGCACAGTGTCATCCACAGAGGCCACGTAGTCTTGCAAGTTCACGGCCTGGATCTGGACTGCCCGCTTTTGCTGTGGAGCCTTCTGCTTTTGGAACTGTAGAGCAGGTATAATTGCCTTCAAAGTGTTAAGAGCATGTCATTTGGCTGATTGTCAAGTTTTTCTCCGTCCATACCTGCCAAGAGGAAGCTGATCCACATTCATACATGGGTCACCTATTGTGTCCTTCTCTCAGTCTGCTTGGGCCTCTGCCCCATACTGCCTGAACTAGTTACTCCCTTCTGCAGCCCTTACTATCTCCCGGTGCTGCCAGCTGTGCCCCATCTGTACTGCAGCTGCCCCCTCTGCCTGGTGTTGGGTTCACTCCCAGCTTTAATGCTGTCTTTTGGTTCCTGGCGACTGCCAGTTCCAGTGCTCCAGCAGCATCAGCTGAGTTCCTCCCAACTCCCACTGGCCCACTGCCTCCACTGTTGCCATTAGGCAGCAAGCGTCCCAGGCTCAGCCCCCACATGCTTGTACAGTGCTGCCCAGGACTGCCACCCACTCGTAGTTTCTAGCAGTTCTCTGGAGTCTCTCCAGTCCACCCACTATGCTGCACGTATCAATCTATCAACACGTGGTCTCAGGCCTGATGGGGTGCTCCTCCTGCAGCAGCCCTCGCCTGGGCCCTGCGCCTGCCTCAGGCTCTAATTTGAACCTGGATTTAGATGCCACTTGCGTATCCAGTGGGTGCTCCATGTTCAGCTCAAAGCCTTTCTAGCGGATCTACCCCCATCCTGGCTCCGCTGGTGTCCTTCTTTACCTTCATGACCTTGCTGGGTTATAGCTCTCTGTTTTTATTTTTTATATCACCACCTAGTGGGCCTTTGTATAACAAAGCAGCTTGATGTCTTCAGCCCCCAAGCTGTCTGTGTTGGTGAGCTTCATTATCTCAGCAGCACGCATTCTTCGTGGACATGATTTATGAGGAGCATATACCTCTTCTTTCAACTTCCTGCTGCCATTTTCTCTTAATGAGGCTTCTGCAATGGTCCGCGCTGAGGAAAATCCTGCTACAACATGGCAACTGTTTTCTCACTAATTCAGACTTGATATTTGGGCAACCCAAAGAAGACACACAGAGCCATGGATTAAAATTGACATTTTTATTCTCAGTCACCACTGTATTTGCCCAGCCACCCAGCACTATCCTCTGTCTAACCACTCTTGTGTACTCAGCCACTGTGTACACATAGTGACTGTCCACCAGTACCAGACCTTTTATTTGGGGCGAATGGTCACATAAGTTATTTACACCAGGAAATTGACAGATGCATCTGTGCTGGAGTCTTGCTGACCCACTGCCTCCTGGGTACTCCCATTTACAGCCTAAACTATAGTCATGGCCATCTTGTGCTTTTGTATTTGCTATGACTGTATAATTTGCTCTTTTGGTATATTTACTGTTTATTGTTTCACTTCAACTCTTACTGAGTATGCTTCATGGGACAGAAGAATTTTTTATCTTTTTTGGGAAGAGGTTGAACTGATTGAACATTATATAAAAGGCAGCTTTCTAACCAGCATCACTACCGTAACCATTTTCCATACACCTACAGATTGAGTTTATACACTTCTAAGGGTAGCCAAGTTCACATTGAAATTCAGTCTTAAGGAGCAAATCAGTATTGTTTCCCGTTCAAAATAACCCAAATACCAACCAAGCAAGGAATGGATAAAAAAGAAAGATGTATTTTTATACAATGGAGTACTACAAAGCTATAAAGAAGGATAAACTCGAGGTTTGGATGGATGCAACTAGAGACCACACTCATAAGTGAAATAAATCAGACTTGCATGTGCAAACATGATATTGTCTCCCTAGTATAAGAAACTGAAGGAGTAAATAAGATCCAAAATCTACAATATATGTCATGAAAAGGAAAAAAAAAAAAAAAGAACAGAACAGCTGGGATGGGGGAAAGGAAAAAAGAAGAAATAGAAAAACATATGTATGCATGTATAATAGCTAAGATAATTATACTAGTAATTTCTTTTAAGTCCACTGAAAAGGACAGTTTGTGCTTATATTGTTAGATTAATTTTGCATGCCTCTATCTAGTAATCTGAGCAACTACTTTGAAGATAACAACATGCAATACATTAACTATTGTTAATTTATTATCTTGTAATGAAATTCGGTATCATTGTTTTTATTGTTTCTCTTTCAAATAAAAAACGATAGTTTCCCTCCCAAATCTCTTTGATTTTCATGTTCATGTATCCAACAGCCTACAGAAACCCCTACTTGGATTTCTCACATGCACCTCAATATTAGGATGTCCATAACTGAACCAATTTCCCTTTAAAACCTATTTTCCCAAAGTCTGCCCCAATCTTTTACAGGATGCTGCCACTTACGGAGTTGTTTAAGTAAAAACAACTGGTGGTGAGGTCAGGCTTGAGGGAGTTTGAGTAGACTAATCTCCCCTGCCAAAGACAGCTAGAAAGTTGGATAAAACACCTGACAGGCCCTTCACATGTGCAGTGCCTTGGGAAAGGCCTGGTGGGGTGGACTGGGGCGCAGTCCCTTCCCTGCTGGGCAGTGACAACAGAAGGGGCAAAGCTCTCTCAACAATGTAGTGAAAGCGAATTGTATCAAGGTGCCTCACATTTAAATGCGACTCATAATCCTAAAGTAACCTCCTGTTTCCAGTGATGCTCAGGACGGGGGACAGGGACGGACTTGTTACTTACAGTGACTCACAGTCCCAACAGTGACTCACAGCTCCAAACGCAAATCTGGACTTCACATCTGAGAAGACCAGCAACTGTCAGCCTGGGGGCTGAATTGCAGCACACGGTCCAAAGTCTCGTGCGCTGGGCGTGGCCAGGCGCTATGGGGCGTGGCTAAAAGTCAGACTGAGTCAGCGCAGAGCACTGAGGTTACTAATTTTTTTTTACATCGTCCTTCCTTCCCTTTCTTTCTTCCTCTCTTTTCTTTTTTTCTCTTTTCTTTTTTCTCTCTTCCTCTTCCTTCCTTTTTTCCTTTCCTTCTTCTCTTTCTTCCTTCATTTTCTCCTCTCTTCCGAAAAGGAGAAAATCCTTCCTCAGAAACCACCTACCTACATCCCCCTAGCCTTGTGCTGCTTTAATTTTGAGACAGGGTGCTAAGTTGCCCAGGCTGGTCTCAAACTTGCGATCCTCCTGCCTCAGTCTTCAGAGTAGCTGGGATTACAGACATGCACCCACATGCGTGGCTGAAGCTTGCCTTAAATAGCAAAACAAACCCAAAATCCAAAACAAACAACAATCAAAACAGAAACAGACACAAAAGAAAAAAAAATCTCAAGTACTGAAAAGTCACAAAAGGTCAGCATTAGCTTTCGTTGGTTAACCTTTTATTCTTCTATATTGCTTATTCTGACCCCGTTCCTGACCTCTGGATCCTTATATACAGCGGTAGGTAGTCATCTTTATCTAAATACCCAGCTGTAGATGCCTCGTAAAATGTTAACTTAAATTCATGATCTTTTCTTTCAAATTTATGCTATCTCCTGCAGCTCCCAATCAGTAATGACAAGATCTGAAATCAGGGTTGCGTTATTCTTGACGCTTCTCTTTTTCCAGTGGCCATGCAGCCCTAATCATCTCTGTCCGCAGCACCCATACTGACGCTGCTGTTAAGGTAGTTACTGCACTGGATGCCCAGAGAAACTCACTTCCACTTTACCTCTCCCCAAACCTTCAAAGAGCAGCTGGTGATCTTTTAAAAATGTAAATATGACTATGCTTAAAATTCCTTGCTAAGGGTAAAACTTCTTAAAATTGGATCCTGGCTTTCTCTTCAGTTGCAGCTTCCCTCCAGTCTCCTTCATTCCCACTTACACTGAAACTCCAGTAAAGCCCAGCTTCTTGCAGGCTCTTGTTTTGCTCCCCTACACCTTTTTGTGTCTATATTCAAGCTGTCTCTACTGCCGGCTTAACCACTTCCCACTCCCAACTTCTACCCGGCTAACTCCTTTTGTTAGCGTGAAACTCAGTTCAAGACCTCTTCTTTGGTCTTTCATACCCCTATTCCTCACCAACACACTCAGTTAACTATGTTCCTCTGTGTCCTAAATCTCCCTCTAAATAAACCCCTTAGTACTATATTAGCTGCATTGATAATTACCTACTTAGTTTTGAAGTTCTGAAATCTAGTTACTGTTGGCTAACCTATATCTAACTCATCTGTTTATTAACAGTGTCTACTAAGATGCTTGTCACATGTCAGTTAATTCATTGATTAAATAAATACCTGGAAGCTACAGACCTATCAACCCTTAAGCTGCACATTTTCTGGATACATCTTGTTTGACCCGAGTTCCCTAGAGTGTGCCTCTTAGTAACTAGAGGGAAGATATGACACTATGCAGAAAAGACTGGTAGTTTGAATTAAGGTAGTGACAGTGCAGAGGAAGAAATGTAGGCTGCCCTTGAGATATTTACCCACCCTCCTAACTTCCACTCTGAGACCTTTAACCCTCAACATAGTAGTCCTGAGCTACTGGCACTCCTGAGATTAGGTAACACTCAATGAGTTAAGTAATCTTATGCGAAAGGTAGATTTTTCTGAAACCTCCTTCTGTTTATTGAAAGTCTTTTTTCGCTCTTTGCAACAGTTAATGAAACAAGCCATAGTGGCTGGTCCGAGGTTTGAACAAAGACAGGCCTGGTCCTGATTTTAAAGGTCCACCACCAAGCAAGACAAAAGAAAAGCATGCAAAATGGAATTTTTAAAAAGATATCAAAGAGCCTATCAAATAAGTCTAATTAGAACACTTTGTTTCAAAGAATATAGATATTTAGTAAATTTCTACGGTAGGATTAAAATTTGGGTGTTTAAAATTAGTAATGAAAGTAGACTTTGAGTTTTTTGATTTTGTACTTTGTTTTCCCATCATGGCTGACCAGGGGCAGCGGTGCTCATGGTGCACTCAGAAGTCACTCACTCGGAGGAGCAGGTACTTACAAATTGGAGGGGAACAAAAACTCAAATATGGGAAGGTAACTTGAAGAAGACTGCCAGAGGAATTCTAGTATCAGGGGAAGTTAGAGAAAAAAGCTGGGTCACCTTTGATCCAGTGCTTCTTACACCCCAGATCCAAGAACACACCATCCAGGGGAAAATTTAACCTTAGCAGGGAGGAAGCTAAGTACAGCAGTAGCAGCTGGGTTGCTGCACTAGGAAGTGCCATGTGTCACTGCCCACCTGTCCTAACTCCCTTCTCACAGGGACAGGGAGATTAGCAAGTGAGATATTTACAGATCAGGGCACTAAAGAGACAGAAAGCTAGTGGATCATTCAGAGGGCAGTGGAGTTAGGGCCAGTGGGTCCCTGGGAAAGAAAAAGATACAGTCCTGCTTAGAGATCTGGAACCAGACAGGGAGAGCTGTGACTTAGTGACTTGCATAGCAGACAGCAAAATCAGCAGTTTCCCATTGCTTTCCCCAAAAACCAGTGAGCTCTGGGTCCTGGGGATATCCTGCCACTGCCCACTCTCTAGATGCTGCAGAGCTTGGTGCCTGCAAGGTAACTCTTCTACCAGCAGTCAAAAGCTGCTGAGCTCTCCAAGCCCTAAGACCCACCGAGCAGCAGCAGGCAGCTGCCAGGATCACTGTGGAGGGAAAGGGGCAAAGATCAAGAAGGACCCTTCACACTAAGGAGGCTGACACGGAAGGATCGGACTTATTGCGCAAGTCTCATACTATTAAAGGTCACAAGACGACCCCCTGCTGGCTTGCCACACCCACAAGAGCACAACTGAAACCAAGTAAAGTACTGCATGTAGAGGAAATGAGAAGTAGGCTCCATCACTCACTAGCAGGCAAAGACACACACACACACACACACACACACACACACACACACACAACTGTAGAAGTTTTTCAAGCACCAGTAGACATAACAAACTTCCTGCACTCAACTACAGAAAACTGGAACTTAGCCCCTCCACAACCACTGTAAGTCAGTTTCTCCTCTTGCAAGTGTAGAGGGAAGAGCACACTGGCCAAATCCTGACTGCTATATAAATAGAACCAAGAAGACACTTTTCTCCTGTTTTGTATGTATGTGAGGGTATTTTGGGGGGCGGATGGTCTCCTTTTCTATGTCTCCTTTTATCAGACATACGTATATGTGTGTGTGTGTGTGTGTGTGTGTGTGTGTGTGTTTGTATGTGTATATGTGTGTGGTATTTGTTTATATGAAAAGGAGAAGAAAAATTAGTGCTTTAGTTTAACTATTATCTCTTATGGACATGCCAGGTTAACCTTCACCAAAACTTGTGCATAGGGGACTCAAACACAAGCTTCCTCTCAACACATTAATTGGTTCTGACCTTCTCCAGCTTCTATCTGTCTCCAAATGTACCTCCCTCCCTCTTCTTCCTTTTTCCCACCCCAGCAAATAACCTCTCAAACCCCCTCTCCACACGCCTTCCACTACAAAAATACTATCAAAGTCCTATTTCACTTGATAGTATCTCTTTTTTTTTCTCCTTTACTTTTTTCTCTTCCTTTCCTTCCTTTGTATTTCTCTTATCCTCCACATCCCAGCCTACTTGTCACCAGGACTACATATCACAGTCGTTCTGGGTTATTTTATAACAAGGTGAAAATGTCAAACAGATTTTAAACTACATGATTGAAAGAGAGGAACACTGCCAAACATGTTCTTTGAAGCTAGCATTATCCTGATATCAAAACCAAACAAGGACTCAACAAAATAAAGAAAACTGTGGGCCAAATCTCCTTAATGAACATAGCTATAAAAATCATGAACAAGATACTTGCAGAAATAATGCAACAAATCATTAAAAAGACCGTGTATCATGATCAAGTTGGCCTCATCCCAGGGATGCAGGGATGGCTCAACACATATAAATCATTACATGTAATACATCAAATAAATGGGATAAAACCCATATGGTCATCTCAATAAATGCAGGAAAAGCCTTTGATAAAACCCAACATAGTTCTATGAGAAAAACCCTGATGAAAGGTATAGAAGGATCATATCTTAAACTAAAAAAATCCATGTAAGAAAAAAACCCTAATTATCAACACCATATCAAATAGGGAAAAACTGAGAGCATTCTCTTTAAAATCAGAAACAAGACAGGTGTACCCACTCTTACCCTCTCCTGTCAAACACAGTACTCAAACTTTTAGCCAAGAGCAGTTAAGGGAAAAAAATAAAAAGGATATGTAGAGGAAGTAGATTATCCTTATTTGCAGATGACATGATCATTCACACAGAAGATCCCGAATGACACCAGAAGACTCAGAATGAACAAACAATTTCAGCAAAGTTAGCAAAATATAAAATCACTACACAAAGAGCATCTCTATAGACTAGCAATGACCCCTCAGGAAGAAATCAAGGAAAACAGTTCCAGCCACCCAATAACTTCAAAGAAAATTAAATACCTAAGAATTGACATAACCAAGAAAGCAAATAACCTATAAAATGAAAACTTAAGTACTTTGAAGAAAGAGATTGAAGAGACATCAGAAAATGGAAGCCCATCCTCTGTTCTTGTATAGGCATAACCAATATTGTCAAAATATCCATATTACCAAAAATGATACATTTAATGCAGTTTCAGTCAAAATACCCACAGCATTTTTCACAGTAGCAAACAAAAACAATTCTAAAATTTTGTGTGGAACCAGAAAAGACCCAGAACAAAGAGCCAAAACAATCATAAGCAACAAGGACAAAGCAAGGAGGTTTTAAAATGCCAGACTTCAATTTAGGTCACAAAGCTGCAGTAATAAAAACACCACAGTACTGGCACAGAAACAGGCATATGGACCA